GCAACTAACACGTAATCAATTACACTGCTTCCGCATCCTGATATATAGGTAAATTCCACACATTTCTCAAATTTAGGGTCACCATTTATTATGTTTAAAGCTAGTCTTGTTGTCATCTGCGCTAAGCATGTACCTGCAAAGTTGATCTTGTTATCCTTAGATTTCCTATCTATCTTGTTTAAATGGCCGTCCATATCTTCTAAATGCCAAAACTTAGAGGCTAGTAAAGTTGGATTATCTGGGCCTAGGCGAGCATTAAAATCTCCTGTAACAATTAGGTCAGATTTTGGAAAGTGTGATTCTAACATTACTATATAATCTTCCAGCTCCTCCCAAGTACGAATTAGCTCTGCCCTTTTGCGGCTGGGAGAAATATATACATTAACCAGGAGTATCTGTGTAGGACCATATTCTATATGACAAGCCATAGCTATATGGCTGCAGTTGTCGAGTGGTTTAACTTTAGCCCCAAGGGCTGTGGACAGCAGAATGGCCAGGCCTGCTTTCGGTCGCCCTCTACCTTTTTCCACTTTAGCCAGGGAGTCAATTATAGTGTATCCATTAAAATCTAGAGGTCCTTTGCTCCATGTCCCTTGTAGCGAAATAATATCAAAATTCCTCAAAAATTTACCAACCCCTTCCTCTTTACTTCTGGTCTGCTACCCTGCTATGTTCCAGGATAGACAGTTAAGGTTAGATGATTTTGTTTGCAAGATTTTCACTTTTGGGGCTGGTGAAGATTGCAAAAAAGAGGGCTGAGTAGGAGGTGTTTCATTTTTTACTTCATCAGCCCCAGTTAGGTGCAGTTCAGCTTGCACAGGCTCCACCAGCCCATCATGCTGTCTCCTTGTCAGATTCAATAACCCTCCTGTCCTTCTTTGATAACCAAGCCTCTGAATATCCCTATTTCTGAGTGGTTGAGTAAAGAACTCCTGTGCCATGTTCTCTTTATTTCTTGGCACCACATGTTGAAAAGATTGTGTGATGGGGGGCTGTTTCAAACCACAATCTGTATTTGGCATTCACGCTTCTCTTGCAATTTGTCCCTTGTCCTCCGCTTCAATACCCACAAGGGCCTCCCAGGGACCGTCACAAACAACACATGGATTAGCAATCTGGGGTTTCACAACTTTCACCTCCGGGGTCAGTGGGAGGTGTTTAATGGAAGGCTCAAATCTCTCCTCAGAGTCCAAAAATCTCATCTCCAACCAGTTCCCACCATTCTGAGCTGCTCCTTGCCATCCCCCTGGATTAGTGGGGTTTGTGGGGTAGACTTGGCTGTGAATGAGGATAAATGCAAAGTGTTTAATGCCAAAGCTAGGAGACCCCCTTCTGTAATACCGTTTTGTTACTACTTCCCTTTTGAAAAAAAGGGCAGGTTTATGTAAATATTAAAACAGGTTATTCAAAGAATCCTCAATGCTTCATGGAAGGAGGCACCGTAGGTCAAAAAGTGACTTGGACTGGCTATAAGCCAACAATTCCCCAAATGCAATATAATAGCTAGTTCTTAAACTATAACTATTTATTGTAGGATGGAAAATTGAGTTATGAGTTCATTGATTGTAATTATTTTTCTAAATTGCACAAACAGCATATTATAATTTTCTAAACAGACCATATTGTGCTGTGGTCGATTTTTTTTTCTTGGCAGCGACACTTGTCGTTCAAATATCTGTCGTCGTCCTAATTTACACGAATGCTAGAGGATAGGTTTCAGATGGCTGAGTTGAGGGATCAAATAACCATGGTGTGAAAGTTGTCCGTTATGCCTTTTAAAATTAATCTTCAGTTCATATAAGCAAACTGCCATCGTGGCTTGCGTTCATTTCAGCTTCTGGTGAGCAGCTGTTTGTATTTTGAATTATGGCTGATACTAACCGGCTGAATCAGCAGTCCGGAAAAGGAAAGGGCACAAATATGCATGGAATCTGAACAATCTCTCTTGACAATCCATAATAAGGATTGGACACATTCTCTGTGTCTTGTAACTGGAGAATAATAAGTAATCGAAAGGTACTGAAGAACAATAAATCCAAAACAAACAACAAAGTAGAAGCCGAAACCACCCTTGCAAATGAACTGTAAAAACGAAACACACCCCAGCACACCCAAATAACAACTTTTAAAGAAGCCATATTCATTCAGTTAGAAAAAGTTTTATTCAGAATAGTAAAACTATCCATAATATTATTTGTCAGCTGTTTTCAAGTTCACAAAGATAAAAAATCATAAAATTTGTATGATGACTATTTTTAGGATATTCAAGTATGCCGCCTATGGAAGCAGCAACTTTTTTGTCCACTTCTGAATTTTCAAGAACTCTTACCAAAAAATATTTCATGCCAATAAAAATTACAGAAATGTAATGTTCTGCTGTCAGTTAAAATCTGTTTTTAGGGAAGAATTCTTTTCTTAAAAAACCAACACCTGTATACTTCATGGGCTTCTTTGGCAAGTTCTTACTATCAAAGGCTGCAGTAAGGATGGCATCTTATGCTATATTTTCACAAAGGCACTTGTCTATAAAGCATCTACTGTCCTTTTTTTGCTACTACAGTTTCCTATGTCCCTCTTTGGAAGATTGGTAAACGTGTGGAAAGCATGAACGGATGGTTTAACTTACAGAGGAAAGTTGGGTACTTACTTAGGTGATCGTTCGTAGCCCAAGGATGATGGTCCTCCAAGTGTAGTGCCTTGGCAGTGGGTCCATAGGTGGCTGTGGAGCCCTATTCTTGATCCGCATGTTCTCCTGCAGTGAGGACATCGGTTTCTAGATGGATCGCTTCTCCCTTTTGCCCTCCATTCATGCCTCTTTGGATTCTGCAGCACTGCTGGTCACAGCTGACCTACAGTTAAAGAGCTCAAGGGCTTCCCAGTTCTCAGTGTCTATGCCACAGTTTAGTTGGGTAGAGATTATTTGGCTTGTTTGCAGCCCCAATCCTAATCAAGATGCCAACTTGCAATGTGTTTATTACGGGTATTGGCAATTCTGACTTTTACGGATTTGATTAAAAAGTTTTTCTAGGAATCTCTCTATCCTTCACTTTAACCTAGAGATTCATAGAAATAACATCTCTCTAGGAATCCCTAGATCTGAGGTTTTCAACCAGGTGTTTTGCACTACAACTCCCAGAAATGCCAGCCAGTTTACCAGCTTCTAGGATTTCTGGGAGTTGAAGGCCCAATTATCTGGGGACCTACAGATTGAGAACCAGTGCCTAGATCATCCAGTGTGATTCTGTATACATCTTCCAGTGGAAGTCAACCATACTGCTAGAAATTCCTGGAGAGGTGTTCTCGCAGGTAAAAATTGAAGCAATTTATTTATTTGCAGTTTTTCACATTCACAGGGTTCTTGTGTCTCTAAACCCAGCAAACACTGTTAACAAAGCTTCTGAAAAGTAGCCCCTTTTCACATTCTCCAGAAATAGGGAAAGCCAATAATAATAAGAATAACTTTATTTTTGTACCCCTCCTCCATCTCCCCGAAGCGACTCGGGGTGGCTTACATAATAAGTTTATCTCCCCAGAATGTATGTGTGTGTGTGTACACACACACACACACACACACATATACATAGACACACATACATACACACACACCTATATGTTTGGCTACCAAAACAGAAATCATAAGGAAAGAACAGGTTGGTAAAGTTAAAAAAATCTTCCCTGGGTGTATTTGGAAGAAACTTTCAAGTAGTCATCCTTGGATGCATTTGAAAGAAATGTTCAGGTTTTAAATTACTCTCCGTATGTAAAGCTTATTTGGCTTGGTTGTTTCATTTCCACATGTGTTTATTGTTAGTTTTGAATAAATCTTTCATTAAAATATGTTGAACTTGTCTTTGATGCAGGAACCTGTCCCTATTCTTTGCATGTTTTTCTGCCTCTGGTACTAAATTTTGCTTTAAGTCTGTAATGCAAAGGAACACATCTAATTTATTAATTGAGATATAACTATATTATGTTTATGTGTTATGTCTAGATCTCATTTGTTCCTCACAGCCTCAAGGCAATATTCATGGATCTGTTTCTCTTGCTTTATCCCTTCTACAAAAACCCTGACTTACTGAAAGTGAATGACTGGCCTAAGGTCATCTAATGACTTTGCTCGATCAATTGAACATGGCTCTCTAGTGTTCTTGGTGAACATGCTAAACACTACATGACCTGGTTTGTTGAGTTTTCCAAGCTGTATGGCCATGTTCCAGAAGCATTATCTCCAGATGTTTTGCCTGCATCTATGGCAGGCATTCTCAGAGGTTGTGAGGTCTGTTGAAACTAGGAAAATGGGGTTTATACATCTGTGGAATGTCCAGGGTGGGAGAAAGAACTCTTGTCTGTTTGAGGTAGGTGTGAATGTTTCAATTGGCCACATTGATTAGCATTTAATGGCCTGGCAGTTTCAAGGTCTATCTTTTTATTGCCTGGGGGAATCCTTTGTTGAGAGGTGTTTAGCTGTTCCTGTTTTTCTTCTTCTCTGGAGTTCCCCTGTGTTTGGGTTTTCTTCTTTATTTAGTGTTATAATTTAAAAGTTTTTTAATACTGGTAGCCAGATTTTGTTCATTTTCATGGTTTCCTCCTTTCACGTGCTTGTGGATTTCAATGGCTTTTCTGTGTATTCTGACATGGTAGTTGTTAGAGTGGTCCAGCATTTCGGTGCTCTCAAATAATATGCTGTGTCCAGGTTGATTCATCAAGTGCTCTGCTATGGTTGAAGTAGTCTGTGGTGACTTTCATGTTCCTTGATTCGTGTTTGGGTGCTGCTTTTTTAGATATGATATGTTTAGAGACTCATTCCAGGAAAATAAAGATGCAATATAAACACCATTTTTATTTTGGGGTTGAGAAGGGCAGTATACAAATATTGCATAAATAAATGTTTTACTTCTGGCAAATAAAATAACACCAAAACTTTACCTTATTTATACATGTACATTGTTGAAATATTTTGATGCAATATTGTAATAGTAAATCTCTTGAATTCCCATTAGTGTCTTCTAGGGGAATGGCTTCTAAAACCTCTGTTGGATTCATTGGCTTGGGTAACATGGGAACTCCAATGGCGAAAAATCTTATAAAGCACGGCTACCCAGTTATCACATATGATGTCTTTCCAGAAGCATGCAAAGAAATTCAGGAGATGGGTTCACAGGTATGGTAGTAGACATCTTACTGTTAATTTGGAGGGGGCATGCCAGGTGTTTTGCTGGAAAATTCCTTTAATGCTGTGTCAAGATTAGATATATTTCTAAAGCCTACCCTTAATATAGAGCATAATCCCCAAATTTGTTTATCTGGTGGTCTTTGGTTTTAATGAATGAAGACAGATGAGCATGCAAAATCATTGTAGTGTTTTTTTAGGGGGGTTGTTTTTTGTGTCAGGAGCGACTTGCAAGTCGCTTCTGGTGCGAGAGAATTGGCCGTCTGCAAGGACGTTGCCCAGGGGATGCCTGGATTTTTTTTGATGTTTTACCATCCTTGCAGGAGGCTTCTCTCATGTCCCAGCATGGGGAGATCATCCGCACTCTCCCAGGATTCAAACCTCTGACCTGTTTGTCTTCAGTCCTGCCGGCATAAGGGTTTAACCCATTGCGCTGCTGGGGGCTCCTATTGTAGTGTTGCTAGATACTAAACTGCAAGTGAGACTGGTGTAGGGTTTGTTGCCAGGATAGCCACAGTATTCTTGTGTCAGCAACAACAAAAAGCTTGTGGCATATTGAAACTAACATATTTTATTACGGCAACCACTTTCTTTAACTATATTGTGCTATAACACAATTCATTATTTTCTTAAGGTGACACAAGACTGTCATTCTGCCTGGGATGTTTTTCCTTATCTGAGCTACAGCAGGAAACTCATATGAAGACTACCACATGCAATGAGTACAGAGGGAAGCAAGATAGGTTGGAACGTCTTGTAGAAATCAAGCATATGCTTCTCATACTGCCTCTACTTTAAAAATATGTAGAGGAACTGGTTGATCCATGGAGTTGGACTCAAACACAGAGTGCATCTACACAGTAGAATGAATGCAGTTTGACCGCACTTAACTTGACTTTACTATGATATTGGCTATTCCTTGCCCCACTGATTACAGTGCATTTAGTGGTCTGCTGTCCAATTTTACACAGCAAACGACAATGTCAATTTTGGGGTTTTTTTTGGGGGGGGGGTTCTTTGGGTGCATCTATACTGTAGAGTTAATGCAGATTTGCACCACAATAAGTGCCATGGCTCAATACTATGGAATCTTGAGAGTTTGGTGAGTCACCACTCTTTAGTAGGGAAGGCCTTGTTAAATTGCAGCTCCCATGATGTCATAGCATTGAGCCATGGCAGTTAAAGTGGCACTAAAGTACATTAATTCTACAATGTAGATGCAGCCACAATTTTATTTAGAGTAGATTGACTTTAAGATTAAATTAAATTAAATTAATTCCCCTCCAAGGTGAGAAATGCAGGGTAGAAATGTCGTAAATAAATAAATTTAGTCCAGTTGGTTTGAATGAGCCTTCTGCAAGCGTGAATCATTTTGGATCTGACACAGTGTTTGTCTATCTCTGGCAACTGATAGTTTGGTCACCAACTAAATCATGAGCACACTTTCCTTGTTATGTCTGAATGCCTTCCATTAGCATCCATAATAATAGCAGCGTACTACAATATTTCATTACTGATTTGTGCAGTTTTGAGTGCCTGGCACGGTCTGTGTTTGAGTTCTTTCTATTGAATTGCTTTACGACTTGCCTGAACTATTAAACACGAGAGAACAATTTCTATTTCAGTTTGCAACAGCTTGCTGACCTCTTTTTCACCCATCTCCCTTTCCTTAAAAGGTGACAGATTCCCCAGCAGATGTAGCAGAGAGAGCTGACAGGATTATCACAATGCTTCCATCTAATCCTAATGTAATAGAAGTTTACACAGGCAACAATGGAATTCTCAAGTAAGAAATTTCCTCTGCTTTTCCATTTAACATCATAAAAGTGAATGGTTGTTCTAAATCTTGCAAGAAGTGTTACATACTTGAAGTTTCTGCTCGCCTATTACATTAACATATTCCTTAATACATAATGCAATTCAGCAATCAGTGCATGCCGATAATACCCCACTGTGCAGCAGACCGTATCCAGCAGTGGGATTATACATGTAGAAATGCATGTGTGTTCCATGCGGTAGTCCCAGACAAGGCGATTTGGCTGCATTTGCAATTCCCTGGAACGAATCCAATAGTTTAGAAGTTGATTAGTTCAGACTCATTTCTCTTTGCCAATGAAACTCATATGGGGAAGTATTATTTTAAAAAAAAACCAAGAGAAAAACATAAAATTCTTAAAATATGCAGAAATGACTTGCTAGTGTTTTTTTAAACAGACCAGGGTCAGAGATCTCATTCATGATTGGCTCCTTTTGCACACAATTCGAGCATTGAGATTCCACTTGAGCTACCATGGTTCCATTCTGTGAAATCCTGGGACTTGCAGTTTAGCGAGGAGTCTTCAGAATTCTCAGTAAGATGTTTCTGTCCCTTTGGAAACTACACATGTATTTTACTGTATTTATTTTATGTTGTAAGCTGCCCCGAGTCCCTTGGGGAGATGGGGCTGGGTACAAATAAAGTTTTTCATCATCATCATCATCAATCATCATCATCGCGGATCCCAAGCTTCCATAGGGTGCACCCATGGCAATGGAAGTGAACCAATAATGTGATAATTGTGTGGTGTAAATAATAATAATAATAATAATAATAATAATAATAATAATAATAATAATCTTTATTTGTACCCTGCCACCATCTCCCCAAAGGGGACTCGGAGCGGCTTACATGGGGCCAAGCCTGAACAAGAATTGCAATATAACAATACGAATTGCAATCAAACATTAAAATATAAAACATCAAACATATAAAACAATATACACAAAACATAGGAACTCAGCATAATAACAGAAAGACAAAGGGCGGGCCGCATGTACATAAAATGATTTAAAAACTCCGGGCTCAGTGACTGACTTTGGCATAATGTAGTAGTTTCAGTGTTGGACTAGGATATTATGGTCTGAATTCCCACTCAGCCATAGACATCCAGCTGGACCACGGTTCGAGTCCAGCCAATCTTCGTGACTGCATCGCCCCCTATGAACGGGTGCGGACTCTAAGATCTGCCGGGGAGGTCCTCCTATCAATCCCACTTCCGTCTTTAGTGCGGTTGTGGTGACCTCACAACCCTGGAATGTCCTCCCTAGTGAACTTAGACAAGCCCCTAAACTACAACTCTTTTAGGAAAGAGCTGAAAACTTGGTTTTTCCAGCAGGCATTTGATAATGTTTAGACAGTAGCCAGAACTTACTGCCACTCACTTAGCACTTTATATCTACACTTTGTGCATTCAGCTGGGCTGCTACATTTATTACATGGATCTTTTAACTGATTCTGTTTTTAATAGGGGTTGTTTTATCCAATTTATATACCTGGTTTATGTAATGTATTATTGTTTTCATGTTAATCTATTTTATTTTATGTGTTACGTATTCTATGTATGGCATCTTTATGTGCTATTTTGTAAGCCACCCTGAGTCCCTATGGGAGATGGTGGCAGGGATAAATAAAGCATTGTTATTATTGTTGTTGTTGTTGTTATTATTATTATTATTATTATGTGATCTTGGGAGGGCAAGAGCAACCTCCCCCCCCCCCCGAGCAAAGTCAGCTAAGAAAGCTTCACGATAGGTTTGTTCTAGGGCCACAATAAAACCAGAGATGGCTTGGCAACAACAACAGTGATGGTGTGTATCCCAGTGGTAGCAACTGGAATCCAAATACCAGTCCAAGTTAGAGTACAAGTCTTAAATCAGTGGGATTTACATGTATGTGATTGACCTGTCAATAATTAAATAAATGATTACTCCAGTTGGAATTATTAATTCGTTATTGACAAAATTATATTGCTGTTATTGGTGGATTGTAGCATTAGTCAAGACATCCACTAATGGAGTATTAGCTACAGTACTGGACTAGAACTGTGAGAGACTAGACTGGGTCTTAGAACCTGGCCAATAGGTTCTAATACCCATTGGCCAGGAAAAATGATGAGGTGACCTTGGGCAAATCGCACTCTTTCAACTTCAGAGAAAGTAGCAAATCCCCTCTGGGCACTCCAATTTAAGGGAGATGTAGACAAATAGGAATGTGTCCAGAGGAGGGCAACTAAAATTATCAAGGGCCTGGAGAACAAGCCCTATGAGGAGCGGCTTAAAGAGCTGGGTATATTTAGCCTGCAGAAGAGAAGGCTACGAGGAGACATGATGTACAAATATGTGAGGGGAAGTCATAGGGAGGAGAGAGCAAGCTTGTTTTATGCTGCCCTGGAGATTAAGATGCGGAGCAATGGCTTCAAACCTACAGGAAAGGAGATTCCACCTGAGCTTTAGGAAGAGCTTCCTGACTGTGAGAGCTGTTCAGCAGTGGAACTCTCTGCTCCGGAGTGTGGTGGAGGCTCCTTATTTTGGGTTACTTATAAAGCAGCCAGCATAATATAGTGGAGGCTTTTAAACAGAGGCTGGATGGCCATCTGTCGGTGGTGCTTTGAATGTGATTTTCCTGCTTCTTGGCAGGGGTTGGAACTATGATTCTATTAACAAATCTTGCCAAGAAAAGTCAATTATAGGGTTTGCCTTAGGGTTATCATAAACTGAAATTTATATTTGAAGGGAAAAAATGACACATAGCACCAGCCAAAATAATTTCTTGTTTATTTTACAGAATGACGACTCTCATAAAATTTGATTTCCTTCTTGTTCCTTTTTAGAAAAGTGAAGAAAGGATCTTTGCTAATAGACTCTAGTACTATTGATCCTGCAGTATCAAAAGACCTAGCAAAAGAAGCTGAAAAAATGGGAGCTGTTTTTATGGATGCTCCTGTTTCTGGTGGTAAGTACATTTTAAAACTGACATCAGTGCTTCCAGGATGACACTGCTTCGAAGGAATTGTTCAAGGATCATTGATCAGCAAAATCTTGCTGCTATATGCTTTTATCCACTAAAAGAGGCAGATTTGAATTTAAGGTAGTCACAGTCAAGAGAGTATGGGGATGGAGGAAAATGTGAAAAGCTGAATCAGAAACAATTGTGTATACGTGGCTTTCCAGAGTACTCTGCCTTCTATGTATTTCATTGCTCATGATCCATTACTTTGGACTTCAATGGCTAATGGAAGCTACAGTTTACATCTGAAGAACTGCATTGTCCCTGTTCCTGCAAAAAGAAAAAAAAAACCTAATAGTTGACTGTCAGCCCCTTCTCTCCTTCCAGATCTTTAGTGTTTGTAGCAGTAGTAGTCACAGGCTTACAAAGAAATAGATGTATTATCGAAGGCTTTCATGGCCGGATTCACTCGGTTGTTGTGAGTTTTTCGGGCTGTATGGCTGTACGCTTCTGGAACATGGCCAAAGAAATAGATATTTGGAAAAACGTAATAGAGCACCTACCTCGCTTTATTATTAAAATTTAAGTAATCTCTGCTAATGTAAATCGGAGACTTCTAACGAGAGAATACTCCTTTCCAAAGAATGGGGAAGTAGTTTTGCAAATAAGTATATGATACTAAATAAATTCACAATACAAGACAATTTTGCAAATAAGTACACAATACAAGACACCGTAATGTTATGTTGAATAAATTTGGTATATTGTTCTTAGCTGTACTTACCTATAACTGGTTGGATTTCATTGAGGAACATGCTTTATTTTGGCCAGTGCTCAGTTTAAATACTTGTGTCAAACATAAAACATTATTTAAGGGAGAATATAATCATGACTGTCACAATAGGTCCAATAGGTCTCAAAGCATGGGATATCCAATGTATAATAGCAAATTTAAGAAAATACAAGGTGTTTCAAAAAGATGAAATAACTGTATTTCTGCAACTATGAACAGCTCTTTTTTGAAACAGACATGTCTTCCTGGTTTATGTACCCAGAACTTAACATAGTATTCCACATGAAGTTTAATGGAAACAGAATATTTTCTTCAGCCTGTAGACCAGGCATGGGTAATTTTCATCCCTCCAGGTGTTTTGGACTTCAACTCCTTACTGGCTGTTAGGAATTGTGGGAGTGGAAGTCCAAAACTCCTGGAGGGCCGAAGTTTGCCCATGCCTGTGGTAGACTCTGCTTATGAGCTCCAGCTCCCATCCATCAGCCTCGGGCAGTGGTCTATGGTGATTGGAGTTGTCCAGTAACTTCTGAGTGGGACGTGCATTGAATTGGCATTGGCAGCAAACCCAACTGGATTGCGTCATATCAGATCTTCCTGAGGTGAAACCGTCTTAGCCTTAAAATGTCCAGAAGTGGACGTGAACCACTATCTGAAATATTGTACAGCTTTGGAAAAGTAGAAGAAAGTTTTAAAAGTATCTCTTCTAAGAGTGTGTTTCTGTGAAAACACCCAGGGAATAGGAGAGGAGGATCAGGTTTAGTGGTTTGAGCATTGGACTATAACTCTGGAGACCAGTGTTTAAATCCCAGCTCAACTGTGGGGACCTACTGAATGACCTTTGATGTTGTTTATATGTTCAGTCGCTTCCAACTCTTCATGACCTCATGGACCAACCATGCCAGAGCTCCCTGCTGGCTGTGGCCACCACCAGCTCCTTCAAGGCCAAGCCAGTCACTTTAAAGATAACATCAATCCATCTTGCCCTTGGTCGGCCCCTCTTCTCTTTTCCTTCCATTTTCCCCAAGATCATTATTATTATCTTCTCCAAGCTTTTCTGTCTTCTCATTTTGTGGCCAAAGTTCTTCATCTGTGCCTTTAATATTCTTCTCTCCAGTGAGCAGTCAGGATTTATTTCTTGGAGGATGGACTGGTTCGATCTTCTTGCAGTCCAAGGCACTCTCAAAATTTTCCTCCAGCACCACAGTTCAAAAGTGTCTATCTTCCTTCGCTCAGCCTTCCTTATGATCCAGCTCTCGCATCCATAGGTTACTATGGGGAATACCATTACTTTAACTATGTGAAGCTTCATTGCCAGTGTGATGTCTCTACTCTTAACTATTTTATCGATGACCTTAGGCAAGGCCTACCCTCTCTGTCTCAGTGGAAGGCAAAGACAAACCCAAGAAAATGCCATGATAGGTTTGTACCATAAGGGTGACAATAAGTTGAAAACAACGCGAAGGGAAATGACTAAAACAACAAGAAAGGAGGAAAGGAAGAAATGGGCTTAAGAGATTGAAAGATGTACCTTTTTTAATCCCAGAGCACACACCTGAAGAATTCTACACGTGTTGTGACCGGAGAAAAACAATATTAGTAAGCATTTTAGGGAAGATCTATCTTGGACGTCATCTCAATCCAGGGGCATATTAAGATTGTAACATAATGTGACTATAAGATTGATTTTTTTGGGGCAGGAATTGCTAAATTCTAGGTTGCTTTGCATTTTGGGTGGGGGAGGGGTTATTTTGTACAGCTTAAATTCATGCATTTGATTGTAGTTGTGTCTTAATAGAATATGATAAGGGCTTTTTCCCATTTCCTAATTTCTGAAAGAAAGATACAGGTTGCCTTTGCTGCTTAGCATAACATGTTATGCTGCAAGGTTGTCTATCATGTGCTTTTGTCCCCTGGCTCTTTTAATTCTTTGCTGAACAGAAATATCCATGCAAGGTTCTTTTGCAATATTGTACCAAAGGCTCCAATTTCAAGCATGCTCAACATTTCAGGTAATCCCAGCTGAGTGCTAGACTTCTAGCAAAGAAATTAGGTGGTGACAGTGAAGCTCTAACAAGGGTAGTACTTGTTACTAAATAGTACTTGTGTGCTTGAGACTGAATGTGGACTTTGTGACCTCAGCATTAAACCACTTCTGTCCGCTCCCTCTCTTTTTTTAAGACATCAATTCTGGGGTATTTTGGAGAACTTGGACAGTTTCTTACTGTGTTGTGAAATTTTTGGTTGGGCTGAAATAGCTGAACTATTCTGAATATCTCCTAATGGATTGGCATGACTTTCCCCACTTGACATGTTTCTTAGACAGTATTGTGTACTTTCTATTTAGCTGTTCAGTAGAGGCATTGTAAAAAGGCAGGAGGATTTCCTACCACCTAATGAAGGATATTTATTAGAGGAAGAATAGTGTTTCCATGCCTTCCATCCAGTAGATAAGACTGTGCAGTCTTGAAAACTCAGCTCTATATTTTTCTTTCCATTTGGTTAGTTTTTATAAAGTTGCACCCCTTCTGTGGATTTAGAATGGGCTTTACTACAATCTGGTGCTGTAAAATAGTAGAGAAAACATGGCTAGGTGGGAGGATTTGGATTAAGATCAGAGCAGGACTAAGAAATGTATATGTATACAGCAGTATAGGCAGCTGGCAATGTGAGACCCAGGAGGGGGTTGAAATAATGGCCAAGAAGCAAAATAGGCTTACCCCAAAATGTTATCTCAGCTGTGTCCAGCTATGCTTATCTATTGTTATGTCAGAAATATAGTTACTGTATATACCTATGTATAAATATAGAGGTTTTATTTAAAAAAATGACCCAAAAGACCCAAGTTGTCTTATCTGCAATCAATTTAAGTACGGTACTTTAAAACTTAGGAGCCCCCAGTGGTGCAGCGGGCTAAACCGCTGAGCTGCTGAACTTGCTGACCAAAAGGTTGGTGGTTCAAAGCTAGGGAGCGGAGTGAGCTCCCACTGTTAACCCCAGCTTCTGCCAGCCTAGCAGTTCGAAAACATGCAAATGTGAGTAGATCAATAGGTAGAGCTCCAGTGGGAAGGTAACAGCGCTCCATAGAATCATGCCGGCCACATGACCTTGGAGGCATCTACGAACAACGCTGGCTCTTCGGCTTAGAACTGAAGATGAGAAACCCCCCCCCCCCCCAGAGTCAAGCACAATGATACTTAATGTCAAGGGGAAACTTTTACCTTTACTTTACTTTAAAACTTACCAAGAAAGCAACCATATCTGAATAGAGTAGTGAAAAGCAAGAGCTTACCCTATCCTGGTAGAACCTACAAACACTGACCTCTCTCTGTTGTGGTGCTCTTCTAGCCTTTGTGAATATCAGGCTACATTTAAAACTTTCCCTTGACTTTTAAATAAACCTTGAAGTATCCACAGAACATCTCAAAATCCATAATTTTGGCCCCAAAACCCATCCTCGACTTATATATTAGGAGGACCTATGCATGAGTATATATACTGTACTTATATCTGAGTTTCTCTCAGCATGGCATAATATCCTTTCAACATTAAAAAATTGTAGTTGCAAAGAATCCTCCAATAATTTTATATGAATCATTTTCTTTTCTTTTCATGTCAGGAGCGACTTGAGAAACTGCAAGTTGCTTCGGGTGTGAGAGAATTGGCTGTCTGCAAGGATGTTGCCCAGGGGACGCCTGGATGTTTTGATATTTCACCATCCTTGTGGGAGACTTCTCTCATGACCCCACATGGGGAGCTAACAGAGGGAGCTCATCCGCGCTCTCCCTGGATTTGAACCTTCAACCTGTTGGTCATCAGTCCTGCTGGCACAAAGGTTTAACCTATTGCACCACTGGGAACTCTTATTATTTTCTGATATCATCAAACTTCTGAATGAACAGCAGATTTCTGCAGGCTTATCTGGGATTCTCCATGTTGCCTGGATAGGTTTCTTTCCAGCTGCATCTGTCCTGGATGAAGAGAAACAGGAATATGCTAAACCATTTATAGGTGCTGTAGTGACAAGTGTAAACTAAGAATGAGGAAAGTGGCCTTGGTAAGCACAAGAGTAGCTTTGTACACCCCATGTTACCAGTGTGGCATTTGCAGCAGTTGCTAATGTCAAGGCTAAAGTATCTCCTGTGGAATGCGGTGCAAGAATCTGAGTGTATCCGTGTGCATTTTCCCTCTTAATGGAAAAAGGAACATGTTGAAT